CTGGCTAATGGCATTGAAATGGTGTTCTGCGTTCCAAAGTTAACTTCATCAAAGGAAGTGTTCCAGAAATGACTCCATTCTGAGAGGGTAACGAAGATGATCTAAAGAGTTATAAACTTTCCTTTCCTTCTTTTTTATTTGTCGCCATCAAACTAACAGCGTTATGAACGTGCAGGAGCACCGTACAACACGCAACTCTACAATACTCGGTTGCGCGTGTTGTGTGAAAATGGATATAAGTTTTCGTCGACCGATTTCTTCGCTGAAATGAATGCGGCCAATGTAAAGCCAGACCAACATACATACGAACTGATCATTGCCGGTCATTGCAATGCATGCGATCTGATCGGTGCAACGTATGATTTGACTTATGCGCATGTTTTTACTGCTACAAGCAAGCATTTAGAAAAGTGGTCGAAGTGATGAAGACCGAAAACATCCCTGCCACGGAAAGCGTTTTCAGCGCATTGGCATATGGATATGCAAAATTAGGGTTAATATATTTTATTCAATGATAATTTTTACGACATTTCGAGTTACATTCGCAGAAAAGAAGAAAACACCACAGAGGTTCTGGATGTAATGAAAGGTCGAGGAGTGAACCCGACTCAGGTCACCTACAACTCGCTGCTCAAAGCTTACGCGGAACGCGGGGACATCGCTAAGTTAAAATCGGTAAGAAATGATGTCATGAGGCTGTCGTCTGTTTGTCCTGCGGAGTCTAGAGATTTGTTTGCATCGTATTAGACGTCCGCCAATCAGTATTCCATTAATCATTATAGAAAGGGAAGAAGTATTACAAAGGGTGAGTCAGCGTTAAAGGCATTGAAATAGCGCAGTAAATGCAGCTTGAGGCAGGCACAACATCTACCTCATTTAGGTACCTATTCACGGCTGGAATTAGATCGACTTAGAAGGAGTAATTTTTGTCGTTAGTAACGTTTGAACTCTCACGTTAGGTCATCGCCGTTTAAAACGAAAGGTTAAAGACTGACTAAGCTAATGATAGTCGGTGTTGTTTGGACGAAAAAATTTGCCAAAATGGTCTAATTTATGACATACGCTTCCTCTGAAAAACTCATTAGATCTTTCTCAAGCAGTAACATGAGAAAAATATACCATTACTTTCCAACCAACTCCTATGCATACCAGGCGAACACTTGTTTAGTCTGCACGAGGAATAGTTGGATCGATTTAATTGGCCTAACAACGTGCAGTCATCAGTATAATCCATTTGGACTTATTTTGACGTTTCATCCAGCTTGACTTCGACAACGTTGCCATTTCCTTACGCTAGTCTGCAGTGCTTTCAAAGTCACTGAGATACGCAAGCACTCTTATCAGCCATGACAGGGTAGGATTCTTAGAGGAGCTGACATCCGTCACTTTAATAAGCTTTTCATAATTTCATAATGAGCTTGTATAAATATGCCTGCAGATAGTGGCATGACGGAGAATGTCTAAAGAGGCCTTTGGAGGTTTGGCTCTGACCAATGATGCAGTTTTGCATCCATACAGGTGCTCAAATACCATGAAACCATGGCCTGTTTAAATGGCTCCCTTGGGCGTTAGAAACGAGAGAACGGTGCCATTACGCCATGTAAATCTGG